AAAAAAAAAAAGACAACAAAAACAAAAAGAAAAAGGAGGAGCTAAGAAGAAGAAAAAATCACATAAACTAAATTTCAAACGGAAATCACACATTAGCTCAACATAATATTAAACGAAGTAAAAAAGATCTTAAAAAATCGAAATTGCCTTTTTTTCTCCTTAAGACACAGATTCAGGTGTAGAAAGTCTAAGTTATATCTAAAAACAGAAAAAGCCGGAGAAATAATTAAATCACTATTTAAGGTTTTTTTTTCCTTCTTTTGTTTTCTTTCTTTTTATTTTTATTAAACAATTTTACTCGTTTTCTTAAAAACTTCATTAATATTTAAGACATTAACTGTTAACTAAAAAAAGAAAATTAAGTGAACTATTTCTTCATATGTGTACTCGAAGGCGTAACAACAACAAAAATTCAAATGAAACGTTTAAGAGTCTGCCGGCGTATTATGCATGGAGTGTGTTTGAGCTTGTGTGTGATATTTGTCGAGTATATAGAAAAGTGTGGGAATGTTTTATGAATTCCAAGCACATAACTTGTCATAAAATCACAATTTAACGACTGAGAATCAAGAACCGAGAACCACAAACACAACACACTACGCTTACATTGATTTACTCTCCGTTTCTGTGCGGGACTCTCGCAAACACAAATTTCCTTAAAAACATCATCATCAACAACTAATAGCCTGTAATATATATGCAATACAATTTTTTTTTTTTTTTTTTTTTTTTTTACTATTACTGAGTGCGCACGCACACACATTTATACGTGCATACATACATATAATATTGTTTGTACATATACATACAAACGTTTAGGCAAGTATACAAACAAAAATGCCGACACACAGATATATACATATATATATATATATGTAGGAAAAAACATAATTCTATTTATTTGGTCTTTAGCCATATTTAGCACACGTACTGCGTACACCTGTAACATCGTCTTCCCCGCCCCCCTGCGCTTTTGCCACTATGTCTTCTGACACTTTTGCTTGTTAGTCTGATGTATGCAAATTCAATCACACACATGCACATACTTATGTATGTATGTGCATTTAATTTAAAACTTTCTTAAGAATTACTTATTTACACATATATTTACTGGTTGCGTTTTACTTAACTTGTACTTGAATGTTGTTGGCTTTTACAATTTAATAACCACTGTCACCGTCATCATCATCATCATCATTATTGTTTGCCAATGGTTTCGCATATGGAATCGCAACGATTTTCAATTGAAATGTTTTCATTTAGTTTATTTTATTAGGTGAAGGCTTTCTGTCCATCGCTTTCATGCATAAAGAAATGAGTGCTCGTTTCAATTAATTATACAAAATTCTGGAATGCTTAAGCGCAAGCGACGACTCTCTAAAATTATTTTTATAACTTCTCTTGAAGTGAAATTAAATTTTCTTTAGAAAACAAAATTTAATTCGTTTTTAATAAATCGTCTAATAGAAGAAACAAAAGAAAACAATAATAAGAAGCAAAAGTAATGGGAAAAACCTGGGAAAATTTTCACATTGCTTTAAATTCGACCTTGAGCAGAAGAAAGATTAAGTAAATGATGTCTGTAAAATCTCGGAAATCGTTCTCCACATAGTGGACTTACGAGAAGGTTTTTCATGATTTTCACAAACTTTAGAAGCAAGAAAAAAGTTTGCGAAGATAAACTCTAACGTAACCTAGCTTAGGCACTTCCTAAGGCTCTTAGCACAGCTTTGTAGGCACTCCAACATGTACAAATAATCAATTTTAACCCACACCAACAGTTTACGTTTATTATGGTTTGTGGATCATTTTTATGCAGAAAGAGTGTAGCACACAGGATTTCGTTGCAAGGAAAAGAACACATCGTAAATGTTAAAGAAAACTCAAAATACATAGTAAGAGAGCAAGTTTCTTCATTATTTGTAAACGACCTTGAAGTTGAGAACCATCTCAACGATAAGTGCACAAGTGAAAACCCATCTGTATGAAAACTCCACTCCGGTTTACTTAGTAATGCAGTTAGGAATAAAGTTTGCGAAAATCTGGTCGAAATCGTACGCTTTCCACGGATTTAAGGTCGTAGTAGTTTTTTGCTAATTGTTTGAGGATCAATAGCCCGTAGCGCTATATAGATTAGCAATAAATAAACAAAATTGATAATCCTCCCCTCGTACTATCACCATGAATAAAAAATTGCTTCCGTAAGATGCGGTGTCGTCTGGTTTCTGTTCCCTTTTATGAAATCGAAAAACAAGATAAAAACGTTGAGAGATTAGTTTTCCAAGTTTCCATAACGAATTTACTGTTTGGCTTGGCGGTCATGATCAATTTGCGGCATAAATGCAGCAAAGAGACGAGTAAAGAAACGCATGCTTGAGGCTTTTCCTGCCAACTAGATATATCATTTATACTCATTATAATAACGAATACTTGGTTCATCACTATTCGCATAATATATTTCTTTTCCCTTCTGTTGTTGAAGCTCGTATTTTATTTACTCTACATTCCTTTCTGTAAATATTTCTTCTCCTTTCTTAGGATTTACCTTAATATTCTAAATATTTGGATCTCTCTGTTGGTTTATTCTATCTCGTTTATTTTCGCTTCAATAATAATAATTGGTATTGGTTTTATTGATTTTCTTGCCGGAGTGAAAAGGTTGAGAGTTTTATGTAATTTTTTTGGGTAAAGTTTTCTCTCTCGCTTTCCACTTCTTTCGTTACATGAATATTGATTAAATTTTCGTTTTCGCTTTGTGTGTCTTTCTCTTTAGATGTCAAACCGGTTGGAAAGGTGCTTTATGCAATGAATGTGAAGCTTATCCTGGTTGCATTCATGGCACGTGCACCAAACCTTGGGAGTGCATATGCAATGAAGGTTGGGGTGGTCTTTTTTGCAATCAGGACTTAAATTATTGCACCAATCATCGTCCTTGCCAGAACGGTGGCACCTGTTTCAATACTGGCCAAGGTCTATATACTTGCAAATGTCCACCCGGTTACAATGGCCCAGATTGTCAAAATGAAATTAATTCGTGCAACGAGGAGAATCCTTGTCAAAATGGTGGTTCTTGTGTAGACGAGCCGACAAAGCGTGGCTACAAGTGCGATTGCAAGAAAGGCTGGATGGGTCGTTTATGCGAAGATAAAGTGATAACGTGCTTGGATAAGCCCTGCTTGCATGGTAGTTGTCGCGATACAAGCAAAGGCTTTCAATGCGAGTGTCCAAGCGGCTATAGCGGTACCATGTGCGAAATTCATGTAGACAATTGTGATCCAAATCCCTGCCAAAATGGCGGCACTTGCGTAATGAATTCAAATGGCAATCACCGATGTCAATGCCCCAGCGGTTTTACAGGAGCCATGTGTGAAGAAAACCGAGATGATTGCCAAGGCAATCCCTGCCAGAATGGCGGAACTTGCATTGACATGATAAATCAATTTCGTTGCCAATGCGTGCCGGGTTATTTGGGCAGTTTGTGTTCGGATAAAGTCGATCTATGTGTAACTAAACCATGTGCCAATGGCGGAACCTGCACCAATTTAAATAATGATTATCAATGTTCATGTAGGGCTGGCTTTACGGGTAAAGATTGCTCAATCGATATAGATGAATGTAACTCGATGCCTTGTCACAATGGTGGCACTTGCGTGAATCGTGTGAACAGTTTTGATTGCATTTGCGCCAACGGTTTCCGAGGATCACAATGTGATGAAGAAAATTACTCTTCGGCTACCTTTGATGCTCGTCAATACGAAGCCACTACGCAGGCACGGAGTGATGGTTTGACAAGTGGCCAAGTGGTATTAATAGCGATTTTGTCGATAGCCATGCCTCTAGTGGCGGTGGTAGCAGCTTGTGTTGTATTTTGTATGAAACGCCGACGCAAGCGCGCTCAAGAAAAAGATGACGCTGAAGCGCGTAAACAAAATGAACAAAATGCTGTGGCTACTTTACATCATAATGGGGGAGGCTTAAGCAGCGTGACAGTTGGAGCATTAGGTGTAAAACGTGGATCAAGTTCCGGTTTGACTTTTGATAACAGCAATCCAAATATAATCAAGAATACCTGGGATAAATCGGTGAATAATATAGCGAGCTCGACTTCGGCTGATGACTGTCTGATGAATACGTCTTTGTATGGTGGTGCTTTGGCTAACTATGCCCCAGCCGATAATAATGCTAATTCCGAATTCTGCGGTGTAGGACAAATCGTAGCGCCTTTGCAAAGGGCAAAATCACAAAAGCAACTTAATACAGATCCTACTTTGATGCATCGGGCCACATCACAATTAATTGGTGCCGTAGGAGGAGGCGGTGGAGGTAGCAGCAGCCACAACACAGCCAGTACCAATAATCCACCCACCAAAGATTACGGAGCCAGCTCTTCGGCCCACGTGGAGGGCAAACGCATCTCCGTGCTGGGCGAAAGTGCTTATTGCTCGCAGCGATGGCCGTCGCTGGCATCTCCGGGCGTATCAAATGGCTGTGGTAGTGCAGCTGCTCAAATGGCTGCTACCAGTAGTAGTGGGCTGTCATCATCAGCCCAACGCTCAGTAGTGTGTGGCGCTCCTCATATTTAAGCCACCAGCCCTAACTCGCAAAGTCCATATCAAGAGTAACTTATTTAGGTGTAAAGTTTTTTTAAATATTTTATTTTAAACTAAGTATAGAAGAAAAAACGGAAGATACATATGACATTAAGTAGAATTGAAACCAAGCGCTGTTGAACTTTATTATTAAATCAAGAAACTACACATGATATTCTCGTACACAATTTCAAGCTCTTTCCTTTTCTCTTCATTTTCTTCATACTACATACTCTGTTTCTATCGTCTGCTTGTGGAGACTCTGCTCTTTGCTCCTCGTCTTTTGTACATCGTCATATACCAAACAATTTGCGCGAGAGCACGAAGATGAAGATTTTGTAGATTAGAATTATTTTTTTTTTATTTTTTCTTATTTTTTATTAAATTTTTCATATTAAACTGCATCAAAACAAAGGACTGACTTTGATTAAGTATATAAAAAAACAAGTTTATATAAAATCATAAAATAAATTTAGAAAATTTAAAATCCATTGTATACACAAATCTCTTTTCTAAATAATTTATTTTCGATAGTAATTTTAAAAGAAAAATTTAGTTTTCTTTTTCCTTTTCTTATTCTTATTCTCATTTTCTTATTTTCGTTTTATTACTTAGGCATTCCTAGTTAAGTCTAGACTAATTAGACTTTTTGTATTATTAACATTAACTTGAACCTAACTCAAGATTTAAGCTAATTTCTTTACATTTGACCAAAAAAAAAAAAACAACAAGAACAAAACTTTAAAAAAAAAAAAAACGACAAAACTTAACTCTAAGTTGGTCACTCGACCTCTCTCTCTTTCTTTGAAACCTTGGCACCTAACACGCATATATATATATATATATATATGTACATGTATGTATACATATATATTTCCTCAACTCATCCCGACTATTTTTTAATATATATATATACATATTTTTTTGCCTTTTTTTAATTTTGTAAATAATTTTATTTAAATTTATAATGACTTGATTTTTTTCTCTATCCCTCTTTCTTTTTCTTCTTCTTCTTCTGGCTTTCTTTTAGCTTAGAAAGAGTGTGATTATGTTATTGTACTCTCATAGTGCTCTTTTTTATGCAAAGGGCTCGTATATGCATGCATATATACCCACACAAACACACGCACGCACATACTGTAAATAATAATTTGTAATTAAAAACGAAAAAAGAACAAAAAAAACGAAGCAAAACAAAAAAATAAGAACTTGATTAAACTTAACAAATTATTATTATTAACATTTTTGTTAACCTTAAGTTCTTCTTAGTTTTTAATTTAATGAAATTTTCCTCTGACTTATGTAAAGATTAAATTTAATTCGTCACTTATGACGCGTTTTATACTACTTTCCTTATAATTACGATTAAATTTTTAGTTATATAAAATTTTGAGCAAAACAAACAAACCGGACTAACTTTTTTGAAAATTTTCATTATATATTTTTATAATTTTTTTTAAATTATATATATTATTATGACAACTTCTATATTGTTGGACATTTTTTCGAGCATTGTTTTACAATTTCTTTTCTTCTTTATTTTATTTTACAAAAACATTATCCTTTAGCCTTATAATACTTTTCGTACTTTTACTTCTAAAAAAAAAAGTCATTTCCTGCTAAATTATATACAATTTTTTAAATAATTATTTTTATTTAGCGTTAATTTCTCATCGGTTTTCATTTTTTTTTTTTTTTTTTTTTTTATTATTAAATATTTTGTAATGAATTTATTAATTTTTAAGCCTGGATTTTTACGATATATCATAAAATTTAAAAAACCACAAAAAAATTGAATAATGAAAATTATACACAAAAAAAAAATTGAAATTATAAATTATTACAAAAAGAAGAAAAATCATATGAGAAAAGAAGATAAACAAAAAATATACATCATTATTACAAAAAAAAAAGAAATGTTTAGAAACATTTGTGTTATTATTTGAAATTAGAAAGACTTCCTAGCTGTGACAGCGAACGCATTTCATTCAGAAACCGACGATCATTATTATCACATGCATTAACAACTCATGCAAACAAATATTTTTGCATTGTCGAAATCCATTTGTCTATCAAAGTTTACCTCATTTTCGAAATTTGTCTTTACCTTTCGTGCATTGTATATCCACTTCTTAGAGGTCAATTTATCAACACCTGCGCAATGTGGACAAGTTTCGCTCTTTTTTCACTTAACAACAGTACCGCTTGAAGATTACTTGATATACAATGAAACAAATTTCATTTTTTTTTTTCATTCAATTCTGTTTTCGTGATATCCATCACTAGAAGCCGTCGCTGTGTTAGACTTGCTTTACTGCTTATTAAGAAAGTATACAGATAATATGAGAGATCTAAAAAAAAGTACATATGTTTGCTTAGTGCAAGGTTCACGTCAAATGCCGCCGGTTATTGAAACGCGCTTGGTCCCAAAAGGTGGAGCTGAAAGTTAAGGCTCGGCTCACATTGAAAAATTGTGTAATTCGTTTACAATCATGGCCACATAAATACCATGACGAGATTGATCTAATTTCCGACGAGCAGTGGGACAGAAGGCACAATTCGCCCACAAGTACGGACATAACACAAACTCGCACAATCTGAGAGATTGTTACTTAACAAATCTTTCCAAGTGCCAGCCAAAAGGTCCAAATCGATAAATAATTACATATATAGCTACATATTTGTATGAGAGAATTTTATGCTCTTTTCGATCGGATACGCACTTTTGAGACTTCGGTCATACCCTACCCCTTTTCTCCCTTTTTTTCTGTTCAGCACCATACTTCTGCAGGTACAAGGGACGTCGCCTGAGCCATTGAAAAAAAAGAAAGCAAACTAAAATAAATTTTACATTTCGGGCTAGAGGAGGTCAATGTTCGCGGTGGATAAAATTCGCCATAAAAATAGTGTGAATTCTTATTTGTCTGCGACCAAGCGCGAGCCAAGGGATTGTTACTTCTTTCGCGTAGAAAACGCTACCTATTGAAATATAAGATTTTTCGTCTCATTAAGCGAAACACAATGAACTTGAAATTTACTGAGCAACTGCAAAATGAATCTCTAATTATCTCCACATGTTAGCTAATGCCCCGCATTTCACCAGTTTTCAGTTACCAACTTCAAAGAAAACTCCGAAACTGCAGTGATTTAATCACTTGAAGCACTACCAAATATTAGCTTGTGAAAAACTCTCGTTTTCACTCGTCCTTTCCTTATTCACAACTCCTTTTAATGAGTATTTTTTAGTCACTACATGCACATACCCCAGCATTTCCAGTTTTAGGATTTCTAAAAGGTTTAATAAAAAAATACTTATAATGGATATGGACGTTTACTGTTAGTATTAATAGTGACTTGAAAGCAGGCTGAATTCATCTATCGTTTCTGAAAGACGAAATTAACCTCGAGAAATATGGAAAACAAAAATTAAAAATTTTTCAATAATCAATCGTAAAAGAGATTCATGTGCATCTCATGCAAAATATATCACACATTTAACGGCACATTTATCTGGACTAGCCTGCTACCTTCTGAAAGGAGGAAGAAAAATTAAAAAAAAAAAATATCATTCTTACCTAAGTCGTACTCAACGGCACTCACATTTATAAAACAAATTTAAAGATTTAATCCGATCGTTGTTTGATCCTTTTTATACTTCATTAGCAATCGTAAGAGCTATTCCTTCTTAATCAGTTAACTGTGTCGACCCCTTTAGCGATGTACTCATATACACGACGAAAATCGACCGCATGTAATATGAAATTAGGTTGTAACGAAACGAGTCGAAAAAATGAGAAAAATATTTCCCAAAATATATTATTGTGTGTGGCAAACAAACATTTATAATGATAAAATTTGATGAGAAAGTGCGAAAAAGACGGACGGACAGATCATGAGATGTACTCATCACACAGAGTTTACTGGGTATCAAAAGTCTACAATTTGGATGGGATCTGTACAAAGATTTTGTTATATCGGTTCGTTGACAGACACACTAAGGTTTCGGAACTAAAGAAGAGCAGTTTCAAGTACAACATTTTGCAAAAGCTAAGATTAGAAGTAATTTCTTGAAAGTAAAAATTTCGTTTATTTTACACCTATGCAAATGTCTATATGCGTAGTCGTTGCAAAATATATTTGTAGACCCCTTTCATGGTGTCGTTCTCTTCATTACTACCGGTATAGGAAGCAGTTAATTAAAAAATCATTTTGTATGATAAATAAGAAAAATTTTAATTTTATTATCATTACTATTACAATAATTATTATGTATTTAAATAAATGTGAGATGTATGCATATACTAGAAACATAAATAAATATGAAAAACAGTAAACAATTGTAATTAAATAAATAATTTGTATGTATTCATAGCAAATTTCAATATTTTAATTAATTATTCAAAACAAATTCATTTTTCATTTCTAGGAAAAAAGGCACAAATTGCCTCGATTACCAGCTTAATTTTTGCTTTATTCCCGTAAGTATTGTGTAAACTTATTTTTGAAACAATGTATGTGGATCTCTTCGCTCTACACTCGCTCTATAGCTTCAATTATGGATAATTATGTGATTGTGAATAATGTGAAAAAAATCAGACGATTATATTTCAATCGACAACAAATATTGCATAACGAATAATAGGTAGACGAACACATAATAGACAGCCAGGTAACACGTGAAACATATTGAAAAAAATCGAATGCTTAACCTATAAGAGTTGAGCTTGAGTTATTAGCAAACAACCAAGGCGTACAGGGAAAGAAATGTGCATCATAGGAATTGCGGCCTTTTTCTGGACGTATGGACCTTGGAGTACTGCCAAACACGTTTTCCAAGTAAATGCCACATAGCATCTCACTGCTCTTTTCTGTAGAACTCTTACGCGTAACGCTACGCGCCCATTGTTATCGAAAAACAGCAAAGAACCACGCAAGTCCGCTATTGAAAGAAAGGAAGCTTCTTCGAAACGTAGAAATTAATTACGGAAATTCGAAAGTAAAGAAATCAAAGTGGAAAGTTGTAAGATACACCTCCGTCTTTTTCGCATAAAGAGCAGCGAGTGGCCGTTTTTTTGGTTCTCGATACGCGGTAAACTCGATCGTAATTTGCATATGTTACTCGACAGCAATTTAATGATGGAGAGATATTTCATTCTGTAAAAGAGCACACATACACACACACACACACACACACATACCCATATCGACAGCTGCTATGTGCAGCGAGTTCATAATCAACTGCAATCGACTTTACTCGATGTCGAGAGCGCTATGTCGTCCCCAGACCTCTTGTACAGCAAACAACTTTTTCTTTTCCTTTGCATTTATTTCCTCGCGATACGATTTAGTTAAATCCACCCCTCACAATAAAACTTTATTCGAAAACAATATGTTAAACAAACCGTAATAGTTTGGTGTTTATTTACTTTATTTTTAAATATAAATTAATTGGATATAATATGAGTGGACAAGCTGACATTGACCCAGTATTATTAATTT